GTGTGTGTGTGTGTGTGTGTGTGTGTGTGTGTGTGTGTGTGTGTGTGTGTGCGTGCATACCAACAGCCTGCAGTGCTGAGCTGAGTTCAAAGCGGCTCATGCTTCCAGAAGAATCCTCATCAAACTGAGAAAAGATGGACTGAAAAACAGAGCAGCATCAGTAACACTGACATGACTCTCATCCACACACACACAGACACACACATGTGCGCACAGACTGAGCTGTACCTGCAGATTGCGCACACTGGCCAGCAGGGTTCCTGCTTGCTCACGGCTGAGAGCGCAGCGCCCTTTAGTCTGCCAGCAGAGTTTAAGGACATCTCAACAGGACAGAAGACAGAGAGATAAAGTTATAAGGAAGGAGCGCGATAGTGAACAGCAGGGTGAAACAATGACTCAGCTGCAGAAGTCAGCAAGCGTCTGCCCCGAGGAAGCGTGAAACCAGCAAAGGTCAGTCTGTTTTCTAACAGCTGCAGCTGTAACGTGAAGAACACGAGGACGTGCCTACAGCGCAGACGGTGTCAGCAAGGATCGCAGTGCACCGCAAGCAAAAAGACTGGTATGCGAGTGATGTTAAAGAATAAACTGAGGACAAAAGGATACATCCTCTCCAAAGATGAGCTCTCTGCACGTCTCCAAAGGCAGATGGTAATCTTTCTCAAGAACTGTGATTAGGGAAGAAAGGCACAGATTGATGGAGAGGGAGAAAACAAGGGTTTAAATTGGATCTAGCAGAGGAAAGGTGAAGGTGAGGACAAGTGTCGTCACTTTTCATTACTCAACTGAGTTCAATTTACTTCATCTGACTGTGTATGAGCCTCTGTCTAGACTGGCGACCTCTGTGGCTGCACTGTTCAAACCTATGAAGGAGCTGCTTTGCTCCCATCTGGTGGCCACTGTAGGTATTACACATAAATACAGACACTACTACAACTGACTTCTGGTAATGCAGTGGATGCTCTGACCTGAGTTGAACAGCTTCATGATGTCTTTGACGTTCAGCCTGTCATCCTGCACGCAAGACACAGTTGAGAAACAGTTTTTTTTTTAAAAAAAGCTTCAAAGCTTTCTTTACTTTGTGAGCCTGAAGTGTTTGAGTGCTATGATTCTTACTAGGCCAGCCTGCTTGTCAAAAGTCATCTCCACTCTCTCTTGATCCTTTGAGGAGACAGGAGCGGTCATCACCTGATAGAAAAACAAAACAAATATAAACACACTACAGCTTTTAGCACCTGTTAGCATCTAGTACTGTAATGTGTACCGAAGAAGTCTGTGAACTCACTTGTGAGAAGCTGGAGGTGCAGGCAAAGTCTTGAGTCCTGGAACACAGAGGCCATGTCAGATTGTTGTACTTGTAAAAAATCTGGCTGACTCATTTGCACAAAAATAACTGCAGTAAAGCACTAAGATTCTTTAGGCTACTTAAGTAGCACTAGCAATACTATAACAATCAGAGGTCCAGCAGTCTAATTTCTCCTTGGTCGAAAGCCAAAAAATGACTCACAATGCATAATGACTGCAAAGCGCCTGCACGCCTGTTATTATCTTATGTAACCTGATAGAAATATAGGTATTCCTGGACTTCGGGGTCTCTACTGTTAATACTCCTGCAGGAAACTTCATCAGTTTTTTTAACCGACTCATTCAAACTGAGCGTGTGCAGATTTAATTGCATAAACACACACCTGAACGCGTCAGCGTGGTTGCACAAGGCCTCTAATCTATGACCAGCAATCGTACTTTATTTTTTTTGAGCTGGCCTTTTGTTATGGGATAAAAAGTTTCCCCAAAACCTCTAACATCAGGCAGTGTACAAGAAAACAGTGCATTACTACAAGTACTTCACAGTTTAATTTACATCAGGCTAAAATAGCTTTTTTTTTTTCACAGGGTATTGGTATGGTGCCAGCTTGTTTTATAAGCTGCTTGCAGTGTTTTATATTTAACATATAATTCAGCCTCTGATAGGTACAGGGAAGTGTGGGTGACTATGACTGTGCTGTTCAGTGTGAGTGTTGCGGCAGGTGATTCAGGCGTGCAGCTGAGCCCTCGGGAAGTGAGTTTATAATTTGACAGAATATCTATGACGAGTGCAGACGCAGGGAGACGCACACACAGCGGTAATAATTCACACATGCTATCAGAGGTAGTTTTTTTTTTCTGTTTTCTGACATCAGACTATGCAGAAAGTTTTTCTTTATCCTTGCTTTGGAATCTTTTGGGGAATGAAAGCTAAATTTCCTCCATCTTACTCGAGAGTGTTTCCGATCTTGGAGAAAGTGCGGACGAAGAACTCTCCAGGGATGTTGGGTCGGTAGGTGGATACCACAATGACGTAAGTACCTGGATCCAGGCGCATCTTTCTCCACACACCTCTGCAGGACAAACAGCATGTTTACTGATTGTAACAAATAAGCTAAACGATTCTATGCACAAAACATGTCACACATACCCTGCTCAATAACATTAAGGTGATGATCGATCACTCAATCATCACAGTAAAACACAAAGTCAGATAAACTTCCCTGTTGGTCCCTTCTAGGAAGCATAAACCACTGTGAATGTATTTCACCTATTTTGGAAATCACACAGCGTCTGTCGGAGAGGCAACAACAAGACCATCCCCTGTTCCTGTCACTGTACCTGCACCTGCTTCACATAGCTTCTCCAGAATGGCACATCCATATTTACTGTTTCTACCAGCACACTCACACAAGTATGGAGGAGATGAGGAGATGAGGAGAGCTGGAAAGAACCATAGAACGACATCAAGGCAGCAGCAGTACCAGTATATACTCCTTTTTGTGAAGACAACCAGGAGCTCAACAAAATTATCCCCAGCAGGATGCCCACATCCTGACCAAACTGTCAGAAACAGACTTCATAAGTGTAGTTTCAGGGTCAGACCTCCTTTAACTCTTTCCCCCGATAAAGGCGGCATATGACAACCTCCATTGTAGGTTTAATGACAAGTTTTGACACCTCAGTATATCGTAAATGAAAATATGGTTTGACCACAAGAGGTTTCAGGTTTTTCCAAGAGTCACCTGGCAGAGACCACCACACTCAGTCACTATGTTCTGGCCTGAATATTCATATTTCAAGCAGGCCTGAAATATGACAGAAGCCACTCAGCTCAGAAAAGAGCGTGATGGATTCCTCGTAGTAGTAGAGTGATCAGGACCGGATCAGGACCAGGACGGTCCCGATCAACTAGTCCAGGTAAGAGACACAAATCTGGAGTGGACATGACAAATATCAAAATGTGAAGAGGCAACGAGACCAGTGGTGCTCTCCGGTGAACTGGTCTGGAGCACAGGCATTCTGGTAGTGCTTCTGTTCCTCAATGCACCATCAAGCAGATACCAGTCCCGGGGCTGGTTGATGCCCATCTATGGACATGTCGGTCTCTCCTCATCGTTTGGTATTCCTCCACACTCTTGATGTGCCATCATTGAGTATCTGTGCAAGCTGAATGCGCTGCAGGTACTGTATCATGTTACCAGTCGTGACAAAGACACTAGCAAAAAGCAAACCTGGAGAAAATCACTCAGGAGGGATGAGGAGAGAGCAATGGTCATCACCTTCAAAGTAATTTTGAATGTTGTCCTGTTGCCTCTCCAGTGCATCTGCTGTCATTTTCATTTGCTCCAAAGCAGGTGAAAGGGAATGGTTTCTGTTTCCTGACTGGACAGACTGATCTCCCTTAAGTTTAACTAACTGTGTGTTACACTTTAATAATCGAGTCTTCCCTTAACGGTTTTGAGCATATGATACAGACTGTAGCTGCTCTGGCTGACTGATTTTCTGTTGTTGTTTTTTTAAAATCTCTTTTCTGTTCAAAGTTAGCAAGAACTCAGCAAAAGATGACAAAATTCTCTTACATAAAAATTGACTTCAGAGTTAGCTCAGGTATTACTCAAAATTACGACTAAAAGTGTCTCAAACATTCACCACAGCATCAGGATCTGCAGCGGTTGGGATCATCGTGTGAACGCGTAGCTCTCTTTGTGTTTGAAAGAGCAACATGCAGTCTCTTCATAGTTTCATCTTATACCTTTGAGCTTTGTACTTCCCAGAACGACACGCTGGGCGATTCTTCATAAAGAAGCTGCGGTCCAGACAAGTGTTCTGCAGTTATGTGGAAAAAAAATAAACAGTTACTGAGAAATGAAAATACTTCTCATGTTAATTTGATTTTATATAAATTATTGATAATTGGTAGATATTTACCTCAGAAGGAACCTGGAAAAAACAAAGAATGAGTCACATGAGTGTGTCAAGAAAAAGAGTTAAGATGCTGAAACGTTAAAGCTGGATAAATATAGCACCTTATAGATGTGAAAGGCGATGTGCAGGAAGTTGAGTTTATCCCTCTGCCTTCGGTTTTTCTGCAGCAGCTCCACCAGCACCGTGCAACGTTTGACTTTCTGCTTCTGCTTCTCGGCTTTCTTCTTCGGATCTGGGGTCACAGTCGGATCTTCCATTTCATCATCGCCATCCTCGCCATCGTCCCCCACGTCGTCGTCATCGTCCTCGTCCTCATTCTCGTCCTTCTCTTTGAGGACCAGCGTATACTGGGGATTTTTCCAGAATGTTTCTGGGGGGAAAAAGCAGAGACAGCAACATCTGGCAACAGAAAGGATCCCAGTAAAGCTTGAATGAACAGTGATCCAGATTTGAACCGTACTGTTATATTTGCGGCTACCGCCAGCAGAACTCCCCAGCAGCCAGCAGCCTTCGTGTTCGGTGATGGCCCAGCTGGCAAGTGTGCTTTCTTCATCATAAGAGTCTGGATTGACGCTGCAAAGCTCCACAACATCAAAGAGGTTGGAGAAGTCCTCGGCACTGATCCTAACAGAGACGGCTACTCGCATCAGAGCTCTTAAAGCCACAAGAGATTTATTCACTGGTTTAAGTTTTATGTTTCTTCTTCTTACCAGAACTCTCCGTCTTCAACGCATTTCACCTCGATCCTTTCCTTCTCTGTCGGGTCCACGTTCTCCCACTCTTTCCCCCTGCAGTCACGCACACGCAGAGACAAACTCGACATCCGTGGATGTTCTGTAAACTGCGAGTGGGCGTGCTCTCTTTGTGTAACATGCACACTCACTTGTCACTCCAGGGTCCGCAATATTCGATAAAACCCCAGGGGTTTCTCAGCCTCAGCAGCAAAATCTCATCTGATGGTTTTGTCAACTAAAATTTAAACAACAACAAAAAAGAAGCTTATAAAACACACATGAAGTCTTATTTTGAAAGGATAATTTTTCACTATGTTGTTATTTACATCAAGATTCGAGAAAAAGTCTTAAAATGTATAATTCCATGAAAAAAATGATCAGACTATGAAAGTGCTGTGTAAGATCTAGTCTGTTTACAAGAACAGATCATAGTAGACTGACAGACATTAAATTACATTAAAGTTGATTGTTCTGTAATCAGTCCCATTTGTTTGTCTGTCTGCTTGTTAGCAGTCTAGCATCCACAGTTTTCAAGATATCGTTTTTAAATTTTGTGTGATGGTAGATACCAATAACAGCTTGAGTTGATTTAATTTAGGTGAAAGTCAGTAAAAACTTTATATTACCCACAAGTTTGGAGGATCGTCTTCAAACTTCGCAATATTCTAGGCCTTGAGGGACATGAATACCAAGGTTGGCTAAGCATTTGAGTTCGACCTTCACTGTTAGCACCCAAGATCAAAGTTGACCTTGAGAAAAATTTCAAGAAACCATATCGAGTAACATATCGTATGAAATGACATGGAGAGAGCTGTACAGCAACCTTTTTATGTTTTCAATACGACGCCCTGCGACGTCTCGGTGACGCCAGCATCAGCATGTTGTAATAAAAACATCATAAAACATTAAAGTTTTTGTTTAGCCCTTGGAGGTAGTTGCGCTCTCTGAGTGCTCTCGTTCACCTTGATCTGTTTTTTAATTTGACGCAAGATTAGACGACGGATTATGAGTCAATTACATTCCAAGATAGGATGAAATCCAGTCAAGTTACAATAAGGAGACATGAAATATAAATGAGATTACATTTATTGTCACAATAAATTTCATCAGCTTAGAATAAAATGATATAATGTGAGATAGCGTGAAAATTGTGCTCACTAATGAGACTCATCTTCGTGATACCTTGTCAGCGTCAGTTATGGCGTAGGCATGGCCCTTTATCAGCCCCTCTCCTGTCACCTTGCCGATATCTGAGGCGCTCTTGGCCTGTGAAGACAAACACAGGTTAACATCCACGTGCGTGAGTGTCAACATCTGGAGTTTGGGGCTGAGTGTACCTGGATGAAGCAGCTGAGCAGGCTCCCTCGCGACAGAGCAGCAGCCAAGGACCTCCAGAGGACTCGAGGGGTACGAGAAGAGATCTCCAGCGAGCGGGCGATGCCTCCAGTGAAGTCCTCCATCCCCTCTGAAATGTTGCCTCCCTTCAGGCTCCCGTAAGATCCGATTAACCTACATATGGGAGGTGAGAAAAGTGGCTATCTCTGTTAGCGACATAACACAGACAGGAAAGGAGTGGGTGATCTCAGACATTACAACCCAGAAACATATGCTGGTTGTGGAAACTGACTTGGCATAGGCCTTTTCCACCAGGGCGCTCCAAAACTCATTGCGGGTGCGAGAGTAGCTGAAGAGCAGACGGCCTTCGCGTACTGGCAGCCTGTCATCCACAACCACCTCCACCCACTCACCATACTGCCAGAACTGCACAGAGGGAGGAGAGAGAGAGAGAGAGAGACGGCGACAGAAGAGGGAGACGTGAGAAGAGAGGAGGAGAGGATGTAATGAGTCAGGAGGAACTGTAATGAGGAGGAAAACTGAGTGAGAACCTGAACATTAGAATCAACTGATTTCTTTTGGCCAGCTGGGGTCAGTAGAAACAAACTATTAGCGATGCACAACACCCCCACCTTTAGACTGCAGTTTGTCTGTGTCAGGCTGACCTCACTGAGTGAAAGGCTCCATACCACCGTATTCTGTCTCCATGTAATCTCTCATGTTGATGTACGAGTCATTTTTTATTACACAGTGTTCTGAGATGGAAAACTAGTCTATGTAAATACTCTAGGCTTACCGTCCCTCTGTGTAAAACAACATGCACGCTCTGCACTTTTGTTTGACCTTTTTGCAACAGAAAACAAACCTCACAAAGAGAACTTGGCAAAGTTCAGATTTCCAAAGCAATTTGTGATCATATTCAGCAGATAAGTTAGCTTTGATACTTCTGGTGACGCATTAGACCCAGAGTATTTCTAGAGAAAGTCTGAATATTGGAAACTTTTTTTTTTTTAATAATGAGAGATAAACTGACTTTTATTCTTCTGAGTTTAATTTTAGTTAGTTTGCAGAACAAAATAAAAATTGTTTCAGTTTGGTTTTATTGTTTTAATATTTAAATGTTTAGCTTTAGCTTGGTTTTCGCTAGTCTTAGCATGTCTCCACAGTGTAGTTACCTGTTTGGCTAACTTGCAAATAGTCCTGTCCTGACACCACCCCAAATCCCTTTGGGGGATCAGTCTCATCTGGGTGGCTGTTTTGTCTAAATTTTAACTTATTAAGCATCTTGGTTAGTAATTCAGTTAGCTTTCAGTCTTATCTTAATTTGCATTTCAGGTAACTGAAATGCAAGCAGTGTGGTGGTACAGTGGTTAGCACTGTTGTCTCACAGCAAATAGGTCATGGGTTTCAATCCACTGGCCAGAATTTGGGTGTTGTCCATGTCCCCTTGGTTATTGCAGTTTCCTCCCAGAGTCAAAAAACGTGCATGTTCGGTTAACTAGTGAAAAACTGTAGGCGTGAATATTTGTCTGCCTCTCTGTGGTAGCCTTGTGATATGTCGGTGGCCTGTTGAGGCCACCCTGCCCGTTCACACATGTAAGATCTGCTCCCCACAATACCCTGAATTAGCAGGCTGAAGAAAATCGATGAATAACTGAAATGTTTCAGTTAGTAGTTTAGTTTTTGTCAGCTACCAGTCAGTTTACGTCCAAGTAACCCTGGGAGCCGAGCAGACTGCTTTAAACACAAAGGAGATGACCAAAGACCAGTGTAAGATTATTCTGAACTGTTGCAACGACTAAATTAACTCGTGCAACAAATTTAGGAAGACTCAGCGTACCTGAATCAATGACAGGTTCATAGAGAGAAGAAAAATATAATAATAATATAATATAATCTCTGCACGCTGTCCCGCTCATCATTACTTTTTTTTTTACAACGTTTCGATTAACGTGACCTTCGTCAGTTACAGAGAAAAATTAATGATTGATGATTAAATTAAGTAATGGAAAGCACTTTAAACTGCTGTGTTGTTGCCTGTAGATAAGATCGTCTTGTCTCAATTAATGCTATAATTTAATATTATGCCTTCAACAATCAGGGGACTTATCAGCTGTCCAGATATGAAGCTTCAAAAGGTTTATAAAGGAGAATTTAAAAACAACAGCTCTTCAGGTCGTTACTGGTCATGGCTCGAGGTGTGTACCATACTGTTAACGGTGTGTACACAACAGTAGCTGAAAGCAGGCTTACACTGGTCTTTCATGGCTGGTGTGTGTGTGTGTGTACAGGTGTCCCGGGGGAGTCACTACCTGCATGTCTGAACTGCTCTCCAATTACTCTGACAGAGCAGAATCAGTTTCCAGTCCTTCCGTCCTGCTTGTTCAGTCACGCCACATTCTCCACGGCAGTCTCTAAAGGTCCAGAGCTTCGAGCCAAAACAATCACTTCCCGATGTGTCTGCTTTTGCAAGATTCACGTGTCTATGAAATTGGTATTTTATTGATCTGAGCAAGTTAGAGCCAGAGAATAAGTGTTGAACTCTCCAGATAAGAATCACCAGTTCTAATGAGCTGATAAAGATTTGGGTTTATGTTTGTTTCCCTCAAGCTGGGAGGCCTTTGTGCAGAAATGACTCCAGGATGAGTTGATACGTGTCTTAGCTGCCTTCAATAAATACCAGAGCCGTGGCACAGCAGCTTACCAAAAAGACAACTCACAGAAAACATTTCAAAGGATAGAGCCAAATCAGATAAAATATAAATTAGTTCAGGCAATCTGTCCTTAAATTTAAGGGGCGTCTAAATATAATTATGTTTGTGGAGGCCTCACATTCGTCAGAATAAATGGCTCTTCAAAGGCGCTCAAGCAGGACCAGACAAAAAGCTTTTAGTCTCGTGTTATGTTGTGCAAAATGATATGTGACCACAAACTTTGGCAAGAACAACCAGCAGATGAACTAGCTCGAGGGCCACAGACTGATGTGTTTTGTGTACATCTATGCTGAAATATGACCTAAGTTTTTGTGTGTAATGATTTAATAAAAAAAACTCGGGGAAACACTTTAATTGACACTTTTGGCTCCAGATTTGGCTGAATGTGTGATCGTGTCTTCAAATAAAGCAACTTGATACAGCGCTGGGCCTGCAAATCTGCAAATTTAAGTCAAATCTGTGCTGTCAACAACACAAGCTGTATGCAAAAACGGACGTACTCACTGTTGCCTAATGATTAGTTGAGTCCTGTCAACTATGAGCTGCTCGATTACACTCATGCTGTTTTATGAACAGACATGAGAAACCTCTGCATGATTATACTAAAGTCCCCGGCCAACTTCGGGTCGGGGACAAGTTCCTGACAAGTGGAGGAGTTTAAGTATCTCGGGGTCTTTTTCACGAGTGACGGGAGAAGGGAACCAGAGATAGTAGATGGAGTTGTGCTGGTCCATCATGGTGAAGAAAGAGCTGAGCGTAAAAGCGATGCTCTCAATTTGCAGTCTACGTCCCGACCCTCACCTATGGTCACAAGCTGTGGGTAGTGTCCAAAAAAACAAGATCGCAGATACAAGCACACAAATGTGCTTCGTCCAATGAGTGGCTGGCGTCTCCCTTAGAGATAGGCTGAGAAGTTCAGCCATCAGGTGGGGCTCAGAGTAGAGCCGCTGGTCCTCCACATTGCAAGAAGCCAGTTGAGGTGGTTTGAGCATCTAACAAGGATGCCTCCTGGGCGATTCCGGGTATGTCCCACCAGGAGTAGGCCCCCAGGCAAACCCAGGGCACGGTGTAGAGATTATATCTCTCGGCTGGCCTGGGAACGCCTTGGTGTTACCCCGGACAAGCTGGAGGAGGTGGCTTTGAAGAAGGAGGTCTGGGTTTCTCTACTTAGGCTGCTGCCCCCATGACCCGGCCCCAGATAAGTGGAAGAAAATGGATAGATTATACTAAAGCATACTCTGTTCGATGAGTGTCCATAACTTACAAAATGAGCTTCACGTTGTATGAAATATGACTTAAAACTGCAGTAATCCACGTTCACCTGTACTCAGAGAAACTTTTCACCAGTCTGAGTCACGTCTTCAGTTCCCAGTACAAACACGTAATGACCAAAACCAGCAGCACTGACTAACAATGGCCCGTGAGGTTAGTTTCATGGTTGTTAATATGCAAATTTTCATGGCCGTTGTTTAACGCCTGTGAATACCACTCACAGAGAGTTCCTCTCTCCACTATGTGCACATCCTCACTGAAGGAGTGGCCACTGGCCTGCAGGTGTAAACAGACTGTTGAGTACTGACCTGATGGGGCAGCTCTTCTGTGCCCTGCCGGAGGTTGTTTGGCTTCCACAAAGTATAATTCATAGCGATCCCCTTGGCATTTAATTGCAAAAATTATATTAGTCTGTTTGTTTTGAGCGACCTAATACTTGGGGTGGACCAGTTTTTGGTGTGGGGATTTGAGGTTTGAACGCCACAGAGACACAGTGTTTTGAAAAGATGCATCTCAGCTATTCTGATGCTCCTGACACATAAGGCATCACCAAAGGCTTTTGCTTAGGGAGCAGTGAGCTTTCTTCTTTGGGTGCTTTCACAGCGCTCACAAAAGTTCAGCCACAATAAACCAAATTTAATCGGGGTCTCTTATGACATGATGTTCTTCCTGCTGGTTCCCTGGGTGCTGTGTCTGTGGGGATGGTGTTCGCTCTGTGTTGTAACTTCCTGATGTAACGCCCAGTTTGTGCTCCAGTGGATGATGAGAGTCAAACCTTAAATCAGTATACGCTGGTTTACAGTCCACATCGACCTTAAAATGTCCCGCATTACTGATGGTAATTGCACAGACCAAGAAAGCTAGCCTTCCGTAATAGCATGGCAAATAGGCCTCCTTTGAATTATCTGTGGGCAATTTGCATTGAGGATAATATAGATGCTGTTTTGGGGGAAAGAGTGAGCATTGTTTCTCATTAGTAAGAAAAAGAGTCTGGTCTTACCTTGAAATGGAAGATCCCTGCGTAACGGTCGCTCAGACTTTGGTTTGGTGGCACCACCTTCATAAAGAGCGAGGGGTGCGCAGTCAGACAGGACAGGGCAGCCAGCAGCCAGCAGTTACCTGATAAACAGGAAGAAGAGTGTGACGAGTTTAAAGGTGATCACTTTTTATATTTATTAAGTATTTCAGAGGGTGGTGGTCTCCCGCATTCATGTTAGGTAGACTGGCAGCTCTCCATCACACACGTAATCAACCACATTCTTCTCCAGCAGCCAACATCTGTTCTGTGTTGCAGATGTTGCAGTAACCGTTAGCATCTGTGTAAATCATGGAAAAACACAGACTGAGATTTAGCTTAAAAGGAAACCCAAAACGTAGACATGGAGACAGAGGCAGGCGGAGGAGGAGGGGGAATTGATCTGTGCCAGTGACATGCTCGCACACATCCGACGACACAAATCATCAATGAAGAAATCCCAGAGGTGGAGGACGAGTTTGCTGTTTTGCAGAAAACAGCCGTATAATTCATCAAAATTGGAAACAGACTGAGAAACGCATATTTTAGCTGATGCTGCAGGCTAATAAAGCTGCAGCTCGATGGGGTAACGACCCCCAGCAGATTTAGGATTTGATGACCACAAAGAGACACGACTCTTTTCCCTCTGGCTGCACATTAGATGTTTTGGTCCCTCTGAGCCTGTTTGTCCCCGTTGTACAGCTACTTCAATCGCCTGTATCCATTTAACTGGGTGTTGTGCAATCCCAGTTTGAGACATTTCAACATGACTGGTTTCATCACTCAATCCCTGTGGATTGATAATAAACAGCTGGCAGATAAAAAGATTGTTCTTGTTCCAGATGTACTCACCAAGTTGGCCCTGACAGATATCAGTGGTTGCAGTCGTGTCCTCGACAAACACAGCGTTCTTACTGATTTCCTACAGAAACAGAACAAAAAGAGCACAATTTACAAGCTCTGCTGTTATAACCATGAATGTTTTACCTCCTGCGATCCCCACGTCCTCTTTAAGAAGCCATTAAACTTTGACTTTCCTACACTAATTCTACCGGAGAGTTTCCGACTCTGTCATAAACTCATTGTGGCCATGACAGGACATTTTTCAGATGGTGCCTAGTTCTTATATTTGTTTTTTGTGCTCAAATCTTAATTTCTGTGAGGAAGATGGTGGTGATATGTTTAGAATAACAAACAATATATAGAATAACTTCACTGATTGACCATTTAAGAACATTTTAATTAAAAACACTAAGTTATGTGACATTTTACAGAATCATTTATGTGGCCCTGTTTTACAAGGATTTCCCTGGAAAATATATATATTTTTAAATTACTTTTGAAGTCCAAACCTTTTTTCTTTGTTCATGTACTTGGTTACTTTGTGACTTGGTGTCAATATAAAACTAGATTAAGGATATGTGAATGGACATTGGGCTCTTTTCTTGATGATTTGTATAACCTTTTCCAATTCTCCCTCACTTCGTTCCTTCTCAACTCCTTCTTCTCAAGGTTTTTCCACACCTGTGACACACCTGGTTAAATCTGTTTACACCCACATCAGCGCTGCTGAGAGCTCATGTGCAGAATGTGGGGGGAACATTTAGAAACACATACCTGAAAAACAGAGAAACTTTCTTTAACTCCAGAGTTTTTGTTTGAATCATGCTAAATAAGCCCACGAACACCTAAACCTCCGCAAAACCGCTGGCTCTTTATGCGCATGCACAACATGTCAGTGGTCAAACTTTCGCACCTTGGGTCTCTTCCATTGAATAGCCTTTTTAGGGTCCGGGTCTTCCGGTGTTCCGATGGACTTCTGCTCCGCTGGAAAGGTTGGATCAGAGAACAGCACGCCGGACTTCAGACACTCTGCCTGGAGAGTTTCAAAGTCCTGGTCCTTGAACTTGATCGGGTTCTCAGTGGAGCCCAGAGGAGCCTCGTTGTTGGTCGCCATCGTGTCAGTGGGTGCGCTGTCAGAAAAATGCTATCAGATGCTAAATGTGAGAGCTTAAATACAGTAAAAGAAAAAGCGCACACCCACCGGATCAGGCGAGGGCTGCTGGAGCGCCTCCCCGGCTCTGCCCAGCCTGGAAAGGTATGCGGGGCGCCCGGGGGGCCTTCGGTGCGGGAGTCGGAGTAATAACACGGTGCCAGGGGCGCCTTTGATCTCTGGAGTTTATATTGTCCATCGTGCTGAGAGTGCAGACAGATGCGAAAATGATACGAAAAGGGGTCTGTGCAGGGACTCAGCAAGTGCCACAAAACTTCACTCAAAACTATGAAGAAACTTCAAATCTTTAAAAGTTTCTGTTTGCTTTTTGTAAAACATCCAGAACTGTGACTGCAGCACGTTTATGTTCGCGTGCGTGCAGGAAGCTTCTTTCCAGTGAGACCCAAAACACCAACAGGAATCATTTTAAACCTCTAATAAGGACGTTTGGATTTGCCAGCATGTTATTCATGCATGCCGAGAAAACCCCAGTCAGTTCCCCAACGCCAGCGCTAGGTGGCAGTGCACTCCAGTGGACGACACACCACAGATCACTGCGGGACTCATGGTGACAGCTGATTTACTCACTGGAAGCTCTCTAAACGCGATATATAAGAGGATTGGCAAATTGAAAGAAAACCCCTGATCTTTGACCTCTTGCAGTGAGAAGATCTGCAGCAGCTCTGAGCTGCTTCCTCTCATGATGAAACATTTCAGCTGTGATGGCAGTAGTGACTTCTTCCAGGATGAAAACCCAGCTGATCACCTTTGGGCCTGCGGGAGAGTTTATGCTGCGCTTTCATCATCAAATACCAAAAAATGTGAGAACATCCCCGTGGAAGAGTGATCCTCTGTGGAGATCAGGGTGAATGAAGAGAGAGCCCCGAAGCTGCTCTGGTGCCACATGCTGATTGATTTCTGTTGGCTTTTCCTTTAATTTGACACTGCTTTATATAGTGCACTGTACTGTTTTTATTTAAAACAACAAAACTAAAGGCGACATAAGGGAATAAAAGGCAATATTATAGTTCTTTCAACAGCCTGCACTTAAACATTTATGTCCATATTGTCTGTTTGTCTGTTCTGTTGTATGTGTAGACAAAGAAAATAAAGCTGATTTTGATCCTGATTTATATAAAGTGTAAAAACTCCCTGTCAATTAAAGACTTCATTCATTGATGCAAACACATAAAAAAGACAGACTTGTTACTCCATTCATCTGGAGGATGTGCTCCAGGAGGGATCAAGGAAGCAAACAAACCACTGAACTAAAGTGATGTTTCTCCTGTTTCTAGAACATAAATATGAGACATTTCCATGTATAATCACATGTTTGCCTTTTATCTGCACAAATTTTCCTTTAGAGGAACTTTTATGACACTTAAACTGAGGTGGAACAAAAATAATCCAGCCTGCTTCACAGAAAATTGAATTGAAATCCTGACCTAAATGTCTTGAGATGCTGCCTCACCCATATGGACCCTTTTAAGCGGTATCCGGACAGGGGTGCTTTGGTTTGGCCTCCCTTTTTGTGATATGGCCTCTGAATCTGAAGTGGACATCCAATTACACCTCCTACACCCCCACCCTCCCCGAGCCCTCTGCTGTCATTCAGCGAGTTTAGGTGAATATCCACCTCCAGGAAGCTGTTGAAGCGTCTCCAGCAGTCCTTCCATCACACGCCTGATTACACCGAAAGCGAGAGACTGACCGGGACTAAACAAACAAGAAGAATAGCGACACGTATCCGCCTAATGGTCACCATTTAACTTCATTCATGGGCTCTCCATTATGTCCGCGCGGTCTTTGAGGACAGGATTATAGGAAGCCTCGGTGACAAAGGTCAGAGGGCCGACCGACACTCCCACACCTCCTTGACCCGCTCTGATCCCACGACCCCGGCACCAGCAACCCCCCGACCCGTCTCACCCTGCGCGCTGGTTAACCGGCTTTGTCCCGGCCTGTTTTCTGCTGCATCACTCACACACATCACAGCAAGCTGAAGCGGTCAGAGAGGGGACCTTAATATGCCTCAATAAGACTCGAGCCAAAGGACGTCAGTGACACACGAAGAAAAACAACCGATGGGAGTTTCTTGTAGACACAATCTGAAGTTTTGTTCTTTATTAAAAATACAACTAATTCGCCTTTCATGTCGTTTTGACTCTTCCTGGATTCCTTATCTTATTTTTATTGTGATACAGTTCTTTAATTGTGGTCTGTATTCAACTACTTTTTACATTTTTATAAATTAGTTGTTTTATTTCTGTAGTTTGTGTCCTTCTTTTCAAAGATTATCTCTTTTTTTAATTGTAATTTTGTACATTTTTAACATCATGTTATATATTATTCTTAATATGCTTCTTAATTGTAGTTCTCTTGTACTCATATTATAATAGTTTTCTCTCCAGTGTAAAATATTTTTGATTTTCATAAGTTTTTAATTTACTCAGTGACTCATTTTAATTCACTTCAGTACTTCTGAAATACTTTATATTTCAGAATTATGATGTATTTATTCATTTGACACCTTCAGGCACTGTTTTATCTTTATACAAAGTCTATGGCCAGTTTCTAAAATCTGATCAAATGATGTGAATGAAAGGTTCTTGAAGAGGTCAAAGGGTGTTTAAAATAGGATTTGGACCAATAGGAACTCTGATATGATGATGACACATCACTAATTTCTCTCCGGTGCAGTAATATGTTTACTTCAGTAAGCTGGTGAGACTGTAGCAATATTTGAGTGACTATCTTCCAGTGACCTTAAGCCCAAGGATCTAAATCTCTGTTGGGATCCTTGGAAAGACGTCTCCTCTCTTCTCGAAGTCATAAAGTTTGAGTTTGCTTTAAGTAAATTTTCATTTCGATGTGATTTTTGCGAAATTTCACATGGATGCCTCTGGTCACTATATTCAACTGCTCGTTAAGGTAAATATCTAATCAGCCAATTACATGGCAGCAACTCAGTGCAATCAGGTTGCATGATGTAGTTCCGACTGAGCATCAGAATGAGGAGCAAAGATAATTTAAGAGTCTCTGAAGGTGTGATGGTTGTTGGTGCCCGATGCAGTTTGGAGTAAATCCTCCCCGTTAGCAGCCTGGAAAAGATCGACCTCTCAGCTTTAATGAGGTCAGAGCTATCTGACTGTTAGAGAGTTTCAGTGTCTGAGCTGGACTTGCTTTTAAATAGGTCTGGAGAGTTCAGGGTTACAACACGAAAATTACCATTAGCAGTTGCGTTATGGCCTCGTGCTGATCTTTGGGAGAGAGCTTGCTCATTGTTGTGGTTCTGGCTTTGGAACTAATTGTTCTTGGGTTCAGAAAATATGCCTCTATTTTCCACAGTGTGGCGGAGAATGAACGATGGAATTAAGGCCGACTTTCTCTGAAGTTTTCTTCTTTTCGTCCTCTGTTTTGTCACTTTTGCTAAAATGCATAAAAAAGGTTCATTCTGGCTGAACTCCCATTTACTTGATTCTGCTGCGGTTCATGATTGTCTGTCACATCTGTAGCAGCAGCTGACCACTCAACACCCTTGTACTGATTATGAGAAGGACTCTAGGAAACTTTTTTTCACCATACTTTGCGGTGCCACAATACTGGCTAATCTCTCTCCAGATCCAGTTTCTGGTGTTGCTGTCTCCCATTGTTTGTCTCCTTCCACACTTCCTTACGTCCTTCTCCTGCTCTACAGGCAAACGACAAATCTGCAGCTACTCTGTGACGTCGTCACATCAACATGAACCAAAATGTCTGAGGTATGTTTCCAGCACCGATTTGAATCTGTCACGAAGAATTAAAGCAGTCATGAAGATAAATGGGCTCCTATGCCAGGGTAGCAAAGTGTACCCAATAAAGCTGATCTATGTTTCTTTAGGTTGCCATCAGTGGTGACTCTCTGCAGCGTCTTTGCTTTCTGTAATGTTTACCCGACTAAATATGCTTCACTGGACCTTGCAGCATTTAATTAAGGCTCAGTTGCATTGATGCATCACATCATGCAAAAATTATGAAGACAAACATATTTGAAAAAGCACATTTTTGTGGAAAACAAACCTGTAGAGCTGAGGTGACAGAGGATGTTTGACGAATGTGGAGACTCTGGTTCAGGCAGTAAAGAACTGCAGTTCAGCTGCACTCAGGCCTGCAGGGCACAGACACATCAAAGCATTTTCACCTGTCCCAGGAGTGAACCCTACCTCCTAACCTTACTTTGCATGCTACGACAGTAGCGCCTCTGACCCCAGCGCCGTGTTTGTGCACTGCGGCGAGTGGTCAAAATCCAGTTTTTCCAGCATTCATGCACTGACGCCTCCGGGTTAAATGAGACACAAACTGATGTCAATATATGTGCGTGATTAGCTGAGCAACTGAGCTACTGTGTGTGTGTTTGCTTAAGTCGTGTTCAAAGAGATGGGCGGCCAGGTGCAGCAGGAACAGTGCGATGAGCACACATTTCTGACAGACAAAGAGAGTAACAGTCCTGGCGTCAGAGAACATTTGGCGATGCAGATGTTTGGTGAACTTATCTCTTCCATCTTCTTGTGGTTACAGAGGTGCATCTCATCTCTGTTTATGCTCGCAGCTGTACGTACGAACATGTTGGTGCCAGAGAAGAATAATACAAGAACTTGCCTTTACCATCATTCATGTCTGCAGTCCGTTGAGGAGGCCCTCTTTAGATGTTGCTTTCTTAACTGATCCTGCATTTTATTGCACTGCAATGTAAATTATATTGACAATTTATCCAGCTATACGAGAATTTTGCATTGTATTTTTGTATCACTACATTATAT